ACTATTTATAATGTTTGCTTACTCTGTTTTTTAGTGTGCTATAGTTGCCTAAAAAATTTCCTCATTTTTGTACTTTCTCAAAAGAGATTTACCGCATAAATCGATCTCGAGTCACTACAGGCATTGTAAAACCTAATTCCTTTTTATGAAAAATCAAGCAAATTTTCTGTTTAACATTTTTGTCAGCTCCGTACATTTTCACTTCATTTTAGTTAGCAGTTTCAGGACCGCATTTATACTTTTGAAGGCCTTAGGTAACTAAGTGGGTTGTTTTTTATATTTTTAAAATTTCACTTCCAGAATATAAATGTCTGTCGATAAAAAAAAATACATATCCAATATTTGAAGATGCTCTTTCCGTATGCAGTTTCATAAAAATCGGCGTTGATGTTTCTTGTAAATGCAGAAAAAATTCTACGTACTATATTTCATTTAAATGAAAATTTGCAATTTTTCATAGTACATATCCAAAATATGTATAAAAATAAATTTGAAGAACTTAGTAAAGAAAAAGTCAAATAAACGTTCTAAAGTGAATTTGTTGCTCAAATATTCTATCTATAAATTCTATTAATATACAGAATGAAAACATAACGTGGACAAATAATTATAACAAATACTAGGCTCCACAGACATTAATAGTACCAAAAATTAACATATTCAAGCTTTACGTTTCTTCAAGTGTATCTATGTATAAAGTAAGATAAAGTTACTATTCTAAATGAAGTATAAGTACAACATTAACAGTGAACAATTAAATTCCGTGGAAGTTGTAATTTCACTAAACGTACATTTTACTGCGTGTCATGAGATTAGCATAAAGCTAACATGAACTACTGACCTCATTTTTCTCAAGCCAAAATTTCTACCACTTCTGTTTATTTGAAGGATTACTATACACTTTTTGAAATACCTACAAACATAATCCTGAATAGAAGAGTATATGGAAATTAAACATTATATTTATACAAACCAATTAAATTGACATATTACAAATACGTACAGGGACTTTAATTTCGACTATGTAGACCTAACCAAAACAACATTCGAACAATTTTCAAATCTCTGTCTTAATCTGACATTAAAAATGTTGCATTCAATATTTCAATGACCTAGTTAACTGAATGACACTTTTCTGTAACGGAGTCGTAACGGAATTTAACGCGGAAGTTTAGTCTCCGATATACGAACTCGATCGCGGACGTTCGCCAACGAATCGATTGAAGAAGGAAGGAAATGTATCGAACGAAAAATTACCGTGTTTTGCTAGGAGTTTGAAACCGCACGATACGTACTATCATCGCGCAGCATGCTATTAATTACTAGTTACCTTCGGTATTCGACCTCGCATGTGGATAGGTGGTGATGGTGAACCCATCGCCGCAAAGTGGAATCAAGAAAGGCATGCATGCATAATACATTCGCGCGAGAACCGTGAAAGATCTATTTTAATTTTAAATGGCAAACGTTTATTTGGAGCATATTAACACGCGCGCGGCTTTCTTTTCGCTTGTGAAAGGAAAACCTTGTTTGGCACGCGGCTCGCCTTTCCGTCTCTCCTTAATCAGCCCTCCATAACCTACTTAACTTTCGAATAACGTTTTAAACACTTTTTCCTAAAATCTTTTCGCGCATTGCGAAAACGTGATTTTCAGCGGACTGTAAATTGTATATTGCAGCATGCTTTCACTGATAGAATTTTCCTATGCATTACTAATATCGTGAAAGAGTCTGTGGAGTTTTTGAAATTATGGTAAATTTATAGCCGAGAGAGAA